TCACAGTCCCGCCTGTCTTCAAAGCATGAGTATGGACAGAGAAGCAAGAATTCGCAGACCACCCAGGAGCAAACAAACACTTTGGTGAAAAATTCGGCTAAACCTGGTAAGATGGAAGACCATGTTTTAGATCAAGAATTTCATCTGTAGTTACGTATTTTGCAGAAACTCCGAAGCTTCGGTTCCACGGACAAGACTGTCTGAGTAAAAGAAAACTTAAATAGCCACCAAAAGAGAATGAATACATCATTCACACAAAAGAAATGCTGAGCAGTCTAAATAGAGGAGCTGGGGCTGGAGAGAGGGCTGAGCAGCTGGGAGTGCTTCCTGCTCTTTCCGAGTTTGGTTCCCAGCGCCCACAGCAGGCTGCTCACAGCTCCAGCTCCTGATGATATGAACCCCCCCCCCCTTTTTTGGCCTCTGCGGAATCAGTACAAGTATGCATGTGCACACATACGCATACACACTCAGGCACGTAGGTGGGGGATTAAAATCAGCGTGTGCACACATACGCATACACACTCAGGCACATAGGTGGGGGATTAAAATCAGCGTGTGCACACATACGCATACACACTCAGGCACGTAGGTGGGGGATTAAAATCAGCGTGTGCACACATACGCATACACACTCAGGCACGTAGGTGGGGGATTAAAATCAGAAAGTATTCAAATGAAACTTGGGCATAATATGAGAAACTGAAGACGCAGGGCTAGAAAGGAGTATGACTACATTGGTGTACGTTTCAGAAACGTACGAAACAGTGCTATATATTGATTGTAACATGGAGCATGCATGGGAATTATAGCATCAGATCAAGATGGTAAAGCATCCGGGGAGAGGGGGAATGTTCAGCAAGTCTGGGACATTTTTTATTAACTTTTAGGTGAGCATTTGAATTTGATGGAGCTGGATAACGCATGCAAGTATTTTTATGCCTCTGTTATAAATGTGTTGCATTTAAACATACTGAATATGTAGAAAACCCAACAAGAGTGATAGTTAAGGAAGGCCAAGGTAGCCAGAACTCTGCCCCTCCCAGTCATGGCACCTGACCCAGATAACATCACAGGAGAGTTCTTTCCCTCCACCTTTAGGTGGGCTCCGGAGCTTGAAGTCAGGTCTCTAGGCCCACACAGCAAGCACTTCTGTCCATTCAGCCATCTTTCTGGCCCATCCTGGCGGCTTTCAAAAGCTCCTGGATTTCATATCTCTTTTGAACACAGTGTGTTGAAAATATTTCCATTTCTGTCAGTCTTTCTATTTGGTTTGTAAGAAGAGGTTTTTGTTTTGGGAGAGTTTTAATTCCTGGTTGAATTTTAAAGAATGCTTTTATTTAAGTAAGTGCCAAGCTACTCCTGGGCCTAGAAGCCTCTGTTGTCTCGGCTGGGGACCCAAACCGGGGACCTCCTGTTCACTGCCACACATCAGCCTTTGTCTTTCTTTACCTGGATTTCTGAAATTGGGCTAAATTGTCTTGACTCCTGGTTCCACTCTGTTCTATCCATCTCTCATTGACGCCGAAAAAGTCTCAAAGCCACAATAATTGTATATTGCTTAAAACTTCCGATGGGAGCTGAGGGATGACTCAGAGGCCAAGAACAATGCCTGCTCTGCCAGAGGCCCGGTTTGGTTTCCAGAATTCCTATCTGATGGCTTTTAACAACCTATAATTCTAGTTTGGGGGATCTGACACCCTCTTCTGGTCTCTGCTAGCACCCCTAAGCATGTGCAAAGACACTCCAATTATCTGTGAATAAATAATAGAATTAATGCGTGTGTGTGCTTGTGTGCATGTGTGTGTGCGCGTGTGTGAATGTGTGCATGTATTTCTCCTAGTTTTCAGATGGACTCCAAACTCCTTATCACAGGGCCCTTCTACACCTGCACCCTACCTTATGTTCTGGCCTAGTCCTTTGCTGCACATACTTCCGTCACACCGACCCATGCAGCTCCCCCGAAGAGCACTGCTGTTTCACAGATCTTATTCCCTTACCCTCCATGTAATCTTCCCTTTGGTTTTCCGTTTGTTCGTTTTTTCTTTCTGTTGTTGAGATAGAGTCTATATGGGCTGAGCTGGTCTTGAACTTGAACTCCCTGACTGCTCCGTGGTTAGGAGTGCTTGCTGAGCAATCAGGGAAACCAGAATTTGGATCCCAGCACACACATAAAAGCCCAGAGACCTGCAAACACCTGTAGCTCCAGCTCCAAGAACGTGGCATCCTCTCTCTCTCTCTCTCTCTCTCTCTCTCTCTCTCTCTCTCTCTCACACACACACACACACACACACACACACACACGCATGCGCACGTGCGCACACGAAGAAATAAAATAAATCTTATTTGTTTAATAAGTAGAGTTAGGTATGGTGGTTCATGCCAAGATTAAAGAACCCTGACATTCAGGAGGCAAAGGCAGGCAGATCTCTGTGAGTTTGAGGTAAGCCTGGTCTACAGAGTGAGTTCCAGGAGAGCCTGTAATGTCTTACACAGTAAGATCTTATCAAAAAAAAAAGTAGAAACTAAACAATATAGTATAGAGTCAGTATTAATAATTTAAAGTGCAATGTTACTAGGTGTGGTCAGTGTTTTGCTTCTTGGGCTGTTTACCTTCATTGTCATATTTTTAGGTTTAAAATATTTCCAAGAAAACACCCCCAGAAAGTAAACTAAATAGACAAAGATTGAGAACACCGGTTGCACAGAGGGCAACAGAGCGAGAGGAGGGTGAAGAATGGGATGCACATGTGTGGGAATGTCAAAGTGAAGCCTATTTGGTACAATTAACACACAACAATATCAATGCCTCAGTAAAGATTGGGTTGTAAACTGTTTCAATACGTCAGTTTTTTGGTGTATCCCAGGAGATTAAAGAGCATCGAATGTTCTGAGTGGCTGTGGTGCACTTCTTTAATCCCAGCACTCAGGAGACAGAGGCAGGTGGATTGCTGTGAGTTCGAGGCCAGTCAATTGGTGCAAAGTAAGTTCCAGGACAGCCAGGGCTGTTACACAGAGAAACACTGTCTCAAAAAAAAAAATCTAATGTTTGTACTATAACAATCAAATGAAAAAATTGCTGATGAATTATGCAAATGAATGTAATTCACTGTGGCATGAGGCCTCTGATTTGAAGCAGCAGGAAGGATCTCCAGCCCCAGGACCTGGAAACGATGAAGGGAAATTCAAGGGGCTATGAAATTCAAACAAAAGGACACAGTAGGTCGCATATCTATACTGATAATCTATTGTATCTAATCCACTGAGATAGGAACTTTATCTCAATAAATCAGGGTCTTTTATTTTATGCCAAACTAACTGAAGTAGCAACACTTAAAACTGAAATGAATTTGGGAGTTATTTAGTCCTTTATTAAAATGAAAACAAGCCAAATATTCAGCAAAGCAAGGTTTCTTATTACACACCTGACAGCTCACATGATCCCAATCTTAAAACACGTGCGCACAAAGACTGAGCTCAGATACTCAGCAAAATAAGATTACCCGCCTGGTATGGTGGCTTGGACCTGTATCCCAGTGCTGAGGAGACTGAGACAGGAGGGTTGCTGTGAGCTCAAGGGTAGCCTAAACTATCGTGGGAGACTCTATCTCAAAAACAGAGTAAGATCCCTTGCAAGCTCGGCCATGTATACTATCCCAGTATGGAAAACAAGTCCACAAAAGGAAAGAGAAACAGATATTAACCCCCGGGAAATCTGATGCTGCCTTCCTCCATGGGGACAGATGCACAGACCCAAAGCAGTCAATGTGGCTGAGCTCATGGTGATCTCAAGTGAAGACCTGGTCTAGAGGTTTCTACGCTGACAAAAAAATTATCAGAATACCAAGGGTTAGAATACCTACCTCTAACTCATCTGCCCTGGGCAATGCAGATAACAATTCAGCTCAGTAATTCTTTGGCTTGTCAGCATCAGTCAGGCCAGAGAGTTGGGAAGCAAGAGGAACTCTAAAAGAGGAACACGGACTCTGGGAAGCCGGGAAGCAAGGTGGCAGGAATGCGCAGACGGAAGATGGCCGAGCAGTGTGAGCTAGAGCAACCGTCCTGGCCCCAGAACCTGAGTTGAGAAGCTCGGGAATCTGGGACCACTTCCATCTACTTGAAATCTCAACCCTTCTTTGAAACTCATGTTTTATGTCCCTTAGAAAACTTTCCCCGATTCTTCCAGTGAGATTTACAAACAGTCAGTTGCTGTGTGACACTTCATTCGCCCACACTGTTACACTATTTTATTATCAAAGTACTGTGTGTAAATACATATCAGGTCGAAATCGTGTGTGTGTGTGTGTGTGTGTGTGTGTGTGTGTGTTTGCAGGGATGTGGGTGCAACTTTCACAGTGTCTTGTAATGGGCTGAGAATGTAGCAGGCGCACTGTTATTGATGGAAAAGTTGTCAGGACATCAACTTCCCCAAATTCCCACACTTTTTTTTTTAATCTAAAAAGATACACAGCCAGCAACCCCAGATGAGAGGGCCTGTGGCTCCCTGGGCTTGAGGAAAGCTATCCCAAATGCAAATTCAGCCCGAAAGTGCTACAAAGACCAACCAGGAAAGCACAATCCGCTCTAAATCCCTCTTGGGGACCAGGCTCTCCATGTGTGGATGTGTCTGTATATACATGTGCTTGGGTAGGGGGACAGTTGTGGTGCGGTGGGCAGAGAAAAGCATCTCCACGCAGTAATTACGTGGAGGGGATTTGCTATGTCTCTTTCTCCCTCCCTTCTTTGTCCCCATTCTCCTCGTCCCCTTCTGCGTTTGTCTGGGAGGATCCTGGAGTGTTCTTTTGATCGACTCAATCTTTCTCTGGCACTTGAGTTCTGATTGGCTGAAGGACTTAGAGGGGGAAAAACTTAATTAAGTAGATAATCTCTTCTTTGGATGTTAGGTAGCTCCATTTCACCTCCCCTTAACTCTGCTTGGGATCGCTTACACACCAAGGAAGTCGAGCTCTGAGGAGAATTCCATCCCTCTGCCTCTGAGGAAGAATACTCCCCTCTCCCTGTCTCCCAATTTTTGAGACTCTCTGCCTCTGTTTCTCAGAAGACTATGCTCCCCATGAAGCCGGTGTGCGTCTTTCTTCTCGCTTGTGCTCTCCACCTCAGCCGTGCCTGGTAAGTAACCTACTTGGATGCGGGATGTGTAAGGGTGTGTGATATGTTGCAGAATGTTAGCTTTCATGTCTGGACAAGTAAGAGGCCTTGAGATCTCTCTTGGGAAAAGCCATTCTACGCAGTAGGGCTTGCCCTGAGTGTGTGACTGGTCTCAGCAAATCTTTAGGATTCTTGCCTGTAAAAGATTGGGTTTATAAACAAGGGACGTTGTATAGTTTTATAAATGACTATACTACAAATTTCGAGTGATTTGGGGAGACACAGACAGTAGTCTGGAGCGGACCCTGCTGTGACCCCAGAGGGCACAGGCTCCGGGCACGTCACGCCTCTAGAGACAGAGTGGACAGGGTCTGTTTCTGTGCTTTCTGATTTTTCTTCAGAATATTATAAGAAACGACTCCTGCTAGCATTCCATTACAAGTCTGTTGGAGCTACTGGCATTGGGTCACTAGTCTAGAAACCTGAACATTTCTACAGACATTTTTAAGTTATTCACTGTACAGAAATTCCTAAATTGCCCCAAAAATCCGGTAACGTGTGAAAGGGCTTTGCCTACTCTGGGACAAATGCTAGGTGACCTTAGCCTTGGTCTCGGGGAAATCAGCACATGTAATTGTTAATAAGTGAGAATATGATAATACGAGGATTGCATGTAGCTAGGCAATTTGGAGTTTCTCCTCAATTCAGATGCTATCTCAATCAACGCCCCCCACCCCCGTCAGTTCTCACTTCAACCATCTACTTAAGATACAAATCCAACTGCACCACATCCTACCCAGCAAGCCAGAATAGAAATGCCTTTGCTGGAGCCCGCTTCCTGTGCTAATTGAGAGTGTATTCTTATCGTAAATGAGCCTAGCAATCTCTATTAAAGTGTTGATTTCAAAGTTCGCCAACTTAGCACAAGTACTCACCGCTAAGCGTAATGATTTGCAACATTCCTGATTATGAGTAAAACCGCCAAATAATTGGTCAGTTTTAATTGGCTTTTTAATTGAATATTTCAACATGAAAAGGGGGGAGGGAAAAAAAAGCCATCTCTGCCTCGTGAGAACAAAACGACAAAAGGACCGGGAGACTATTTCAGGGCGTTTCTACTGGTGCCCAACGTGGTCTTCCGCAGCTTCAATATCAGCAAAAGAGAAACACGAGCTGCCCCTCCCTTGTCACCAGGGCAGTGGGAAGAATTGTTCCATAACAAGCACCTTCCCCGCTGAAGGGGGTCATGTGCACTTCAGCCCGACACTGACACAGCCACACTGAAGGGTGACTGGGCTGCTTGTCTGTCCAAATTCAAGTGTCTGGATTCAAAAAGAAAACAAGAGAAAAGAAATGCGAAAGTTCATTCTAATTTAAGCCCGGGGTTTGAGAACCCCTCCTTGCCTGGCCTGACTTAGAGGGGAAATGCCTGGCTCCCCAGTGCAACACACTTAAACTTCAATTCCTTTCTCCTGTAAGTTTCACTTGGAATTAAAAATGTATACTTTGCCAAGATTCTGCTTTTAGGTAACACTTGAAAAGTGATTTTTAAAATTTAACGTTTTAAATATTGGTTATTCCTCTAATGAAACACTCCGGGTTTTGTATAGGGTCATCATCCCCATTGAGCCAGGCGAAGAAATTTGACCAACCATAGCCTTTGACATGTTTCTCTTAATACTTCATTATCAGCCTTTTATGTAAGGACCTCAAAAGCATTTGACAAACAGAGAACCACAATTTCTGCTTGGCTGTTCAATTGTCGGGCCGCTTGAAATTACTGTCAAAAAGAGTCCGGTAACAAGCATTCCCCGGGCGAGAAAAGAAGAGAATAACGCGAACTTTCCCTACAAGGTCCAGCTTTACCGAGAGAGTAGCGGAAGAGGGATTTTAAAAAAAGAGGATTTGCCACCGTCCCTCGATGGTGGGACGTTCCTGGGGAGCGTTATTCCTCTGTGACTTTAGAAATGTTTTTTTCTTAATCTTTATGGCTCCTTAAAATCGATAATAGGAACACACAAAACAGCCAAGGAGAGAGATAATGAAAGCTTCAGTGGGGCCAGAAGTGAAACGAGGGCTCCTTCCTGATGCACTTTCTCACTGGGAAGAAACAGGCGTGAGAGGTTTTTGTTTAGCCATTCACCCCACTTCACTTGAGCTAACCTCCCATAATAGCAGTGTGTGACCAGGTTCCCATTTCTATTCTGCAACAGGGCAGGAATTTCTATGAAATTATTGTGTTGTAAGACAATATTTGAAAAGCATTACTTGGGTCTCAGTATTTGGGTTTTTTACAGTAACCTTTTAATGGATATTGAATTTGCATCTAATACTAAGGAGCTAGAGACCTGATTAGGAAAGGACTTGGCTTGGGGTTTGGTTTTGGTGATGCTGGGGGTGAAGCCCAGTGTCCTTTGGCGTTGGTGAGTGAGTCTACTCCTGAACGAGGGCTCAGAACATGAGTCAGCTACTGTCGGGATCTGTGCATGCAGTCTCACCAGGCATTGGATCTAGCCAAGAGTGTGTTCTCTGAAGGCATCATCACTATTTCCAAATGGGTGTTTTAGAAAGTAAAATACAAATTCATGCTAGGTGTGGTATTGCACGCCTTTAATCCCAGCACTCAGGAGGTAGAGGCAGGTGGATATCTGTGAGTTTGAGCCTAGCCTGGTCTATGTAGTGAGTCCCAGGACAGCCAGGGCTACAGAAAGAGACTCTGTCTTAAGCCAAAATCTCCCCAAAATAAAAATCTAAACAAAAAATACAAACTTACTTAAAACTATTGAACTCATGAGTGAGTTTTCCCACTAGCATAAATAAAAAGAGGAATTCAGTCTGAAACAGGTTCACTTAAGCTGGTCCCATCAGCAAGGCCCTCTCTTCCTCAGAGAGCCTGCAGGTCTCTGAAGTGACAAAAAGAAGCGGGATGTGAGGAGCTGCTTTGGAATCTAGGCAAGAGCCTGCTAGTGTGAAACACACCCTTGCCAGTAGCAACCCTGGACTATTCACAAGTACACGGTTCAAAACCAACCAAGACAGCTGGGAGGCAGCCTAGCCATGCAGCTGCATGGCCGGCCTCCAGCCAGAGACAGGACCAGCAAAGGTCAGCTCCCACCAACCCTTCATTTCCCCAACAATGGGAGCCTGTGCCTTCCTTCAGCATCTCTACCTCTCCCATCATAGATGGCAACAACGCGATTACTATTACAATAACAGTGACGAAACTCAGGAGGGCCTGAGAAGAGACAGGACTGTTGTTTTCCTTGTGATGAGGAGGATGCTCTGAGGTCTGTGGTGTGTGTGTCTGTGTGTGCGTGTGTGTGTCTGTGTGTGTGTGTTGAGGATAATATGGCACATAGGGATCTCTGTTTTGGAACATTATATAGAGATAAAGAGGACCAAAGAAAGGACCGGAAACAAAGGCCTTTTCATCGACACCCGCTCCCTTCCTTGCGAAGAGATTGTTGTTTCTTTTCCCCGGGCTGGATGGCTGGTTTAATTCTGCTGTCGGCAGCGGTGCTTTCTCTCACAGTTCGATTAATAAAGTCCCTTTTTCATGGGCTCCGAGGACCCTCTCCTATTTCCATCAGAAGGCAGAGAAATCGTACAGCTTAGGGAATGAGGTTCAGGCAATATTGTTTAGGATAGACCCTTTTATTTCTGAAAGTAGATTTTTTTTTTCTTACTAAGCAAAAGATCAGGCTGGGTTAACAGCTGGGGGGAACGGTGTGCTTGGTTCCTATCAATACAGTCCCCATTGCTCCCATTTGAAACGTGCCTGAACCCTGAGGCCTCTTGAAAGAAATGGCCATCCACTGTCCACAGGCCCGCAGCCTCGTTAAGAGTCAGCCTTTTATGGCTCGTTTTTCCTCAATCTTTTCTGCAAGCCCCTGGTATTGATCATACCATTTCTTTCTATGCTTCTGAGGTTCGAGTTTTCTCTCAGAAAAAAAAAAAAAAAAAAAAAACCCAGACCATAAGAGGGCACTTAAACCCAGCACTCTCTAACCACTCCCAAATTCATTGTTTTGAAAAGTTTGTGTTTCCAGCGTCCCCATCCTCCATCCCAGTAAGACTCTGTAAAAAGGGAGCTGTCAGTCTTTCAGTCAGCCTCTGGGGATGAGACTTTCTTACGGTCTCCAGGCCAGACTTAAGCCATTCTACAGAAGGAAGAACTTCCCTCCATGGGCAGCATGATGGCCGTCTGCTGTGCTACACCCCAGGCTGTTTTCACACACTCAGACTCTCTGGCTCCCCATCAGACCCTGCGTTCCCTACCCTGCCAGTTCATGACAACAGCACACCAATAGGTGGTTCCCACTGTGCTGTCTGGCATTTCTTCAGCTTCATCCGGGTGTCTGTGGTGCTCAGACCTGTTTAACTGTAAGTTTGTATCCTCGACTCTTCTCCTCGGCTTCCTCTGTCATAAAAGCAGAATGAGCAGATATGTAAGAAACCCTTGCAAGTGAGCTTCTCCTAGTGTCAGCTCCGGTTCAGGCTGCCTCACCTAGGTTCATGTAGCTACTGTTCAGTAGCATTTACAGGTACATAGAGTTCCCTCGCCAGGAAGAGGAAGGGCAGGGAAAGGAATCTTCTGTCTGACACCTGAGAGACATGGGGTCAGCAAGCAGAAAGAATCTTGGGGAACAGTATACAGCTGATTGTCCTTGGAGCAGCCCAGAATAGACACTAAGGCGAGGAGAGAAGCCGTTCAGATACAAGCTTTGGTTTATTTGTGCTTCGGGCAGGAAAGGTAACAAAATGAGTGGCCAGGACAGACTGGAAGAGGAGGAAGGTTTCCCTCTCCACTGCATTTAGTTCCTTTAGGGTAGTGAAAATGATCCTAAAGTGCGGTGTCTGATGGTTCTGCTGCCTTGAGCCAATCACCTGCTGGTTTGGGGAGGGGGATGGGTAATCCCTACGATTACCCGAGGTTTCTTGCTTTGGAAATCAGTGGTTTTGTGTCCATCTGTGCAACGAGTAGGACTACTTTCAAGTCTAAACCACAGAGACCCAGATGA